AAGGATGCTTCAGACCAAATATGGAACAAATCCTTTCATTCCTACAGAAGAAGAAGGATTTTAAAGAATTTGCTACAATTTCCCTATTGGGCCCCGCCCCTCAGCCCCCAGGGGGGCCAGACCCACCATTTATACAAACTTTTGTTCCCCTTCCCCCAAGGATGCTTCTGACCAAATATGGAACAAATCCTTTTATTTCTACAGAAGAAGAGGGATTTTAAAGAAGAATTTGCTTTATTTCCCCTATTTGGCCCACCGCTCAGGTCCCTGGGGGGCCAGACCCACGGTTGATACAAAATTGGTTCTTCTTTACCCAAGGATGCTCCACACCAAATTTTGTTAAAATCCGCTCAGTGGTTCATGACAAGTAGTGTATAGTTGACGGACGACAGACGACGGACGACAGACGACAGACGACGGACGCGTGGACGCTGCGGTATGAACAAGAGGCTAGGCACAACACTTGAAATCCGATGACAAAAATGATGTAGAAGCTTGATCATCTTCACTGTAATGTTATTCTCCTATTTCGGTATAATAAAAACTTTATGGCCCTTGTGAGTAGGGAAACAAGATTCTTTGTTTCCCCTCAATCATGTTTCACTCAGGCTAAGTCGCTTTCATGAAACCTATTTGATATTTCATGAAAGCTGGCAATACCAACACCCCTCTAAGACGTAATCGCTGATTGTTCAAAAGTTACTATGGACTGATTAACATTATACTACGATACCTTATATGGTAAGACATCTAATTTGCATAGGTAAACACTATCGCTCTTCAAAGAAGAACACATTCCATAACCAGGTAAAAGAAGGAATTACAAAAATGAACATAAGGGAAAAAGCCTTATATCCTATAACACTTAATATTGCAAACATATATATATAACAACAAACCTATCCCATCTACAACTTCAGCAGCCAAGGCAATGGAAGGCTTACACAGTTATATATAAACTATAATTTATCATTAAATTATTCTTTTATATATAACTTCACACAATGAAAGAGTTAACCTGTTTATTACTTGAGTTAAGACACAGATATGTATGTGCAAGCAAAGAACAAGTACTAAAACCTACTGCAAACATTTCAGTCACAGAGAAACTTGATAAAGAACGCGAGCTAGACTCCAAAGAAAACAAGAGAAGCAGCTAGACTCTGAACGACTCCAGAGAAGCGACTGGACTCCTAATATCCATGGAGAAGCTATAAAAGACTATGAATTGGAAACGCTATACTCTGAAGAAGGCAAGAAAAGCCACTAGACTCTGGAGGAATCCAGAGAAGCGACTAGACTCATAGCCACCCCAGAGAATATATCTGTTAGATTTACCATGAGAAAACTGGCTACAGATAAAGTGAAGTAATAATCTATTTAAGAGATTGGGGGTAAAATCCCCAAAGAATTTAAAGCCAAAATGGAACGATTATGTTAGTCGACGTAAGAGTGAGAGCCCCCAATAACTACATTTATATCCAATCATCTGATTTGTTAATTAGTGTCAAGATAAGTTACACCTGAATAAAATAGAGATTTAAGTGGACATTGAAACTTAAAACGTTAATGCCAAGATACATACGATTTTGGATTAAAAAGCAACACTCTGTTATAAGAGAAAGTGTCGAAATCTATTTATATTAAATGCTTTCTAAGACAGCTCTTAATCTGATAAATACTTAATCGATTTAGGAACCTGTGAATTTGTTAAACATTGAGAAAGCTGTTACAAAAATAAAATGTCCATGCAAGGTCAGAAATCATTTCTCCCTTCAAGGTGACTATCTCATTTCTTTATCTATATTCATGCAATATTTTTCTTTCTGTACTATTACGAGTAGTTTTTATACACAAGATTTTGATCAAGTAGAAATCATTGGTAATAACTGTGAAGGTATACTAGATGTCAAAGGCTAAGGACAACAAGTCCACCTAATATGTTAGAAAAATATTGTTACAGTAATAGATATCAAAACAACACTTAAATGCAATTCAAACATACATATCATTTAAACCCCATTTTGGTATTCTACACTCTGCTTTACCTTGATGTAAATGCATACCAATTATCATCTCTCTTCATACAGTTTTTGGTGAGAAAGCATAGAAACTTGTACTTAAGGGCAAAGTCAACAGGTCAAAATCCAATTCTAATTTATCTCCAATGTAACACAGCATTTGATCGGTTATTCAAAAAATATTTGTGATGGTATGACCATGATATGACATTAGCAAAATTCTCATTTGCACATGAAGCCCCTAGATCAGGATGACGATTGTTAATGATGTCAATGACCCTTACTGACCCTGACAAGTCATGAAATTGATTATACATGATCATCATGTCATGAACAATAACATGACCCTGAAAGGTCAAAGAAATTCCGCCTCAATTTGAATATTCCTAATGTGACCTAATTACCACGAGACATTATTCTTAGCGTATTAATACAACACTGACCGGAACTACAATATCCAATGTAAATAAACATGACGGCTACTGAAATATCGCTAGGTGTTGTGAGATTTGACAATGTCATTGTAAATTTTTGAGCAAAATAAAAAATAAAAAAAAAAACTTTTATTACAACAAAAAAAGACCATGTAAGGTTTGCAATATCGTACAAAATGCACATCAGTTGAAATCACCAATGGAAACAATTTTAACGCTCATGCAATTTATCAAAAATATCGTCTGTTACACTGCACTGATCAACAGGGGTTTGTTACAAATGTCTGAAATACACATAGTTTATAGACCTACTGACACATATGTTACAGACCTACTGATATGAGTCACAGTACACATAAACATTTCAGACATTTGTAATTAACCCCTGTGGCTGTGCTCCATTGCAAGATCACTCACTTCAAACGCTATCAGTTTCACGCGTCTCGCAATTTCAAATGTCAAATAACTAGGCTGTTATAGAATCTACAGACTGTAGTCAGATTCCCATACAATCAAGAAATAAATTCACGTTTGGATTCTTCACAAAATGAGCAAAGAGAAAAGTTTGAATTAACTTCCAAAAATAACTGCCTCGTGGAGGGCAAGGTCGGATTTACGGTGTTCACTGTTTTTATCCATGCGCTAAATTTGACCCGGAGAAAAATCAGAACAATTTCAAATCTAACTTTTAGCTCATAGTTCTATTGATAAACTTAAATCACCCTATATACAATGTACATATCATACGCAATTGTATTTATACTGGATTGTGGAATAACATTGAAGTGTTTGTTAAAATTTCAAAGTACTACTATGTTTGCCAATCAGCAGGCGACAATATGCTGTTCAAACTATTGAACGAAATTTTGTGGACTGTCGATAAGGCAGGCATTTTAAATTTTGAATATAAATTATAAGTTAAAACTATAAGTTAAAAAAAAAAAAAAGAGGCAGAGAAAACGAAAATATAAGTATTGAACTGTTTTTGTATGGTATTTATGATCTGTTTGAATGACACAGCTTTGCTTGCAAACAACGCGCATTATGATTTGTTTGCTTGCAAAGCTGTGTCATTAAAATAGATCATAAATACCATACAAAAACAGTTCAATGCTTAAATGTGACATAGTGCTTTCTCATTGTGTACATATACACACCAAACATCATGTCTATACGTGAAACTGGCCAAGATGCTCTGGAAACTGAAATGAACAGATGATGACTACACATATGGCATGACTAGTGACCTAGGATCTGATCACTCCATGGGTCTGTTGAATGACCCACACCCACCAACTGTGTGTCAGTTTCATGGCATTGCCAGTAACCTAGGATCTGATCACTCCATGGGTCTGTTGAATGACCCACACCCACCAACTGTGAGTCAGTTTCATGGCATCGCCAGTAACCTAGGATCTGATCACTCCATGGGTCTGTTGAATGACCCACACCCACCAGCTGTGAGTCAATTTCATGGCATAACCAGTAACCTAGGATCTGATCACTCCTTGGGTCTGTTGAATGACCCACACCCACCAGCTGTGAGTCAATTTCATGGCATGACCAGTAACCTAGGATCTGATCACTCCATGGGTCTGTTGAATGACCCACACCCACCAACTGTGTGTCAGTTTCATGGCATTGCCAGGAACCTAGGATCTGATCACTCCATGGGTCTGTTGAATGAACCACACCCACCAGCTGTGAGTCAATTTCATGGCATAACCAGTAAGCTAGGATCTGATCACTCCTTGGGTCTGTTGAATGACCCACCCCCACCAGCTGTGAGTCAATTTCATGGCATCACCAGTAACCTAGGATCTGATCTCTCCTTGGGTCTGTTGAATGACCCACACCCACCAACTGTGTGTCAGTTTCATGGCATTGCCAGTAACCTAGGATCTGATCACTCCATGGGTCTGTTGAATGACCCACCCCCACCAGCTGTGAGTCAATTTCATGGCATCACCAGTAACCTAGGATCTGATCTCTCCTTGGGTCTGTTGAATGACCCACACCCACCAGCTGTGAGGCAATTTCATGGCATGACCAGTAACCTAGGATCTGATCACTCCATGGGGCTGTTGAATGACCCACACCCACCAGCTGTGAGTAAATTTCATGGCATGACCAGTAACCTAGGATCTGATCACTCCATGGGTCTGTTGAATGAAATGCAATTCATGTTTCTGAATGGTGTCCGAGTGTGACATACTGACACCTCACCCCTGTTACTGTTTTCGCAATGACCCAAGTATCTGAATTTTCACTACCGCAGATAATGCTAACAGGGGATACTGAATTTATTTAAAATATTTTGATTAGTCTGTATGGAAAGGAATTATTGTCCTGAGACTATAGCCTTGCTTAATTAACTATTTCCCTGTGACATCTATCCATAGATTTAGGTCAATAGCATTTATTGTATTACTTTTATAATAGTCTCAATGGGACAAAGACATAAAGGTATAAGTAAAACATGAAGATGCTGTAACTGCTACAGATGATATTTACAAGCAAAAGCAGATGTCATGATATATCTCACCTCAGGAGCTAAGTCACTTATATCTGTCTCCTCATAGTTGGACTAGTTCAAAATCACCAAATACATATTCAGTTACAACAACCTCACAGTGTAGCATTTCCCCTCTACACAGTTGAAGCACAAACTGGCCAATTCATCCTTTTTTTATTTTTCGTTATCTATTTTTACATGATACAACACATATGGTACATGATTGTCAAGCTGTTAAAACTTCTTTAAGAGTTGTTGTTAATAATACTTGTCAAGCATGTACCTATATACAGAGACAAAAAAATAATTTTTAAATTTGCAACCAGTGAAGTATTTGTGTGTTAATCTGTATTTTATTTTTAATGTTACTTTTAGTTATTAGAATTTTGTGAGCTTTTAATTCGAATTTGATATGATTTTTTAGACCATTCAGATTGAGTTCTATTTCAAGGCATTTTGATTTACCGTTTTTATTGTTTTATTGTTTTACCGTGAGTAATATCAAGTTATCCAAGTTGAACTTTGTATATTTACTAATTTGCTTGCCAAAGATAAATTCTTTTTTATTGAATTGAAGACCAAGATTTTTACCAATAATCGTAATTCTTATATATTTTTTATCAAATAAGATACCTTTTCACAATCCCATAATATATGTATTATTGTTTTTTGTTATTTTTATTATACCAATGCAAATAATACCTGGAGATTATCTGCTTTTGTTGCCTTCCTGTTACAATGCCATTTTGAAACATGTGTTAGAATATCTAGAATCTATATACCTATTTTAACCATTTTATTGCACCTTTTAAAACTGCATGCACAGACATTTTTAAAAAAAAAACAAGCTGCGAGTTCCAAAACCCTACTGAGAGTCAAATCTACTTTCACTTTATATTCTAAGTTATGCCTGGTAACTGGTAATTATATTCCTGTTAAGAAAGATTTAAATAACAATATTCTGGAAGTTTATTTCAATGAAATTTGTTGATTTGTTTGGATATTAACCCTTTCATCCCTATATAACTTTAGTAGACTCTACTATGCATTGATCTGGATGAGTCTTTTATGGTCCACAGCGATGAACGAGTAAAATGTTTATATAAATAAGATGATTGGTCCACAAAACAAAGTAATAATGTTATAGGTACCTGGTCATCCTGTGAGGACGGGACAGGCTGGGCTCGTCGGACAGGACGGGCAGGTTGGGGAGGCTGCAACAATACATATGATTGACATATATATGCAATCAGCTAAGTTCTGGAGAACATACACCAATTAACTTACAAATGTTCAGGATAAACTTGATCAAGCTTGTTTATATTTGACACTAATAATGTGTTATTAAATGTACCTGTAAATACTGTTTGGAATTGTTACGGAGAAAAGTGCTTTAAAGTTCTATTGTTAATTGTTGTAGTATTACATTATACATGTAGGTATAGTGATGATGACAGATCTCTTTTAACTATCATTTCTTATTTTATAATAATCTAATTATCAAGATAAAGGGGAAAATGAATTGCTACATTAACACACAAGATTTACAATTAAAATTTGCACATAGTGTCAATATTGTCCATGAAGAATGTGAAATCAATCAATGGTGTAATAATTAATATACAGTTTAATTTACCAGATGGGTGTGCAATAAAGACAATAATGTTTACCCAGAAGTATTAGAAGCAACCTAATTAATGTTTCTAAAATAAACCTGAAACAGAATAATGCAGATTAAATATAGAAAATCATAATGTGTTTCAAATGTGGGTAATAATTTGATCTTATGTGAAAATGTAAATGTGTAACAAAGGTATGCACTAAGTTGTTGCTGTTTGAATTAGCTGGCAAAAAAAGATAAAGTTGGCACAGTGTATTTGCTTTGGCTCTATTTTGGCTAACATCCTATTAACAGCTAAAGGTCATTTAAGGATGTGCCTCCATGTGTGTTATTTACGTGTGCGTGTGTGTACATGTGCTAGAGGCAGTGTGTTGTTGTACGGATGTGACGGCGACTTAAGAGTGACATCTCATTGAAATACCATGCCAAAAACTCCCAATATAGTATCCCCTCTGTCACATCATACTTACAACTGCGTGGTAGACCACTCAAAGCGCTTAACTTTTTGCAGGAAACAACAACTACCACTTTTAAGGACTTTGGACTAGGGAAAAGAACCAAATTTGCCTTTCCTACCTAGGTAATATAAATGTTTAACACTAAGGCTAAAAGTGAGGTATTGTCATGGAGGTACCACTGGAACTAAAAAGGTAATAAAATAAAGCGAGGGAGGTCTACTTTTTTTCATCCTTAGCTTCTTAAATATCAATTGCCAAGACATAATAGTTTAATGTAAAAAGAAGGAAAAAAATTGAAAAAAGAAATATAAGTACACTTTAGTGGATGGTTGGAGGACCTAAATGTAAAGTGTCAGTTCTAAGCATTTCCTCATTTTGTTATGTATCTATCACATCCATCATGTTGCTATTACATACATTAATATATTTTAGCTACATGTATTATACCAGTGACCCTGATACTGATCCCCCAGAACTGAAAAGCAATCTCTAGCAAGCATTTTCAGAAAGTAAGTGACCTTGACCTATGAACTTTAGACCTGAAAAGCAATCAGGAGCAAGCACTTTGTATATAGAAGTTTAAACATTTAAGGTAGTAGCTAGAGTGATGACATCAGAAGTGACAGTACAGTGGTAGCTCTAACAATTATAGTAAAATATAACCCCCATTTTCATGACAGGATAAGCAATCTTTTGATATTTCCATTTCATCTTTTATCTCAAGTATTCAATAACTGAAATTGTGGCCACGCGGATCAGCATGATATTCATTGGATTCCTCAGGATCATATAATAGAAAAAAACTGGCAATTTTGATACCAGAATCTATTACTTCAGTCAACAAGAGGCCCATGCAAGGGCCTTAGCGGTCACCTGAGTTATATCATAGCTTTATTTTATTGTTCAGATGTGATATGGAAATCAGCATGTAAACTAAGTGAAATACAATACTTGTCATGTCACCAAAGGATAAGAATTTTAAAATATTGGTTAATTTTCCCTTTGGGGCCCCGCCCTAGCCCCTAGGGATGGGGCAGGAATTCCAAGTTTACAATGTAATACCGTCATCCACCAAAGTTGATTCTGACCAAGTAAAAATATAATTTCCAACAGAAAATTGTCAAAATATACCCAAAAGTGTTGTTTCTCTATATAAACTATAGTAAACTTGACCCCTCTCCAAGGGAGAACGGATAGCTCGGGGGTCCTGAAATTTACAATTTAAATAAACCCCTGATGATCTTTCCATCCATGCAGAGAAAATGACTGTAATACCTTTGAGTCTGGAGAAGAAGATTTTTGAAATATTGGTTAATTTTCCCTTTTGGGCCCCGCCCTGGCCCCTAGGGTTGGGGTAGGAATCCCAATTTTACAATTTAAAACCATCTTCCTCCTCCAAGGATGATTCTGACCAAATAAAAATAATTTCCAACAGAAAATTGTCAAAATATACCCAAAAGTGTTGTTTCCCTATATAAACTATAGTAAACTTTACCCCCTCCCCAAGGGAGAACGGATAGCTCGGGGGTCCTGAAATTTACAATTTAAATAAAGCCCCTGATGATCTTTCCATCCATGCAGAGAAAATGACTGTAATACCTCTGAGTCTGGAGAAGAAGATTTTTGAAATATTGGTTAATTTTCCCTTTTGGGCCCCGCCCTGGCCCCTAGGGTTGGGGTAGGAATCCCAATTTTACAATTTAAAACCATCTTCCTCCTCCAAGGATGATTCTGACCAAGTAAAAATAATTTCCAACAGAAAATTGTCAAAATATACCCAAAAGTGTTGTTTCCCTATATAAACTATAGTAAACTTTACCCCCTCCCCAAGGGAGAACGGATAGCTCGGGGGTCCTGAAATTTACAATTTAAATAAAGCCCCTGATGATCTTTCCATCCATGCAGAGAAAATGACTGTAATACCTCTGAGTCTGGAGAAGAAGATTTTTGAAATATTGGTTAATTTTCCCTTTTGGGCCCCGCCCTGGCCCCTAGGGTTGGGGTAGGAATCCCAATTTTACAATTTAAAACCATCTTCCTCCTCCAAGGATGATTCTGACCAAGTAAAAATAATTTCCAACAGAAAATTGTCAAAATATACCCAAAAGTGTTGTTTCCCTATATAAACTATAGTAAACTTTACCCCCTCCCCAAGGGAGAACGGATAGCTCGGGGGTCCTGAAATTTACAATTTAAATAAAGCCCCTGATGATCTTTCCATCCATGCAGAGAAAATGACTGTAATACCTCTGAGTCTGGAGAAGAAGATTTTTGAAATATTGGTTAATTTTCCCTTTTGGGCCCCGCCCTGGCCCCTAGGGTTGGGGTAGGAATCCCAATTTTACAATTTAAAACCATCTTCCTCCTCCAAAGATGATTCTGACCAAGTAAAAATAATTTCCAACAGAAAATTGTCAAAATATACCCAAAAGTGTTGTTTCCCTATATAAACTATAGTAAACTTTACCCCCTCCCCAAGGGAGAACGGATAGCTCGGGGGTCCTGAAATTTACAATTTAAATAAAGCCCCTGATGATCTTTCCATCCATGCAGAGAAAATGACTGTAATACCTCTGAGTCTGGAGAAGAAGATTTTTGAAATATTGGTTAATTTTCCCTTTTGGGCCCCGCCCTGGCCCCTAGGGTTGGGGTAGGAATCCCAATTTTACAATTTAAAACCATCTTCCTCCTCCAAAGATGATTCTGACCAAGTAAAAATAATTTCCAACAGAAAATTGTCAAAATATACCCAAAAGTGTTGTTTCCCTATATAAACTATAGTAAACTTTACCCCCTCCCCAAGGGAGAACGGATAGCTCGGGGGTCCTGAAATTTACAATTTAAATAAAGCCCCTGATGATCTTTCCATCCATGCAGAGAAAATGACTGTAATACCTCTGAGTCTGGAGAAGAAGATTTTTGAAATATTGGTTAATTTTCCCTTTTGGGCCCCGCCCTGGCCCCTAGGGTTGGGGTAGGAATCCCAATTTTACAATTTAAAACCATCTTCCTCCTCCAAAGATGATTCTGACCAAGTAAAAATAATTTCCAACAGAAAATTGTCAAAATATACCCAAAAGTGTTGTTTCCCTATATAAACTATAGTAAACTTTACCCCCTCCCCAAGGGAGAACGGATAGCTCGGGGGTCCTGAAATTTACAATTTAAATAAAGCCCCTGATGATCTTTCCATCCATGCAGAGAAAATGACTGTAATACCTCTGAGTCTGGAGAAGAAGATTTTTGAAATATTGGTTAATTTTCCCTTTTGGGCCCCGCCCTGGCCCCTAGGGTTGGGGTAGGAATCCCAATTTTACAATTTAAAACCATCTTCCTCCTCCAAAGATGATTCTGACCAAGTAAAAATAATTTCCAACAGAAAATTGTCAAAATATACCCAAAAGTGTTGTTTCCCTATATAAACTATAGTAAACTTTACCCCCTCCCCAAGGGAGAACGGATAGCTCGGGGGTCCTGAAATTTACAATTTAAATAAAGCCCCTGATGATCTTTCCATCCATGCAGAGAAAATGACTGTAATACCTCTGAGTCTGGAGAAGAAGATTTTTGAAATATTGGTTAATTTTCCCTTTTGGGCCCCGCCCTGGCCCCTAGGGTTGGGGTAGGAATCCCAATTTTACAATTTAAAACCATCTTCCTCCTCCAAAGATGATTCTGACCAAGTAAAAATAATTTCCAACAGAAAATTGTCAAAATATACCCAAAAGTGTTGTTTCCCTATATAAACTATAGTAAACTTTACCCCCTCCCCAAGGGAGAACGGATAGCTCGGGGGTCCTGAAATTTACAATTTAAATAAAGCCCCTGATGATCTTTCCATCCATGCAGAGAAAATGACTGTAATACCTCTGAGTCTGGAGAAGAAGATTTTTGAAATATTGGTTAATTTTCCCTTTTGGGCCCCGCCCTGGCCCCTAGGGTTGGGGTAGGAATCCCAATTTTACAATTTGGTAGCCTCATCTACCAAGGATGATTCTGACCAAGTTTGAAAAAATTCCATCCACTGGTTCTTGAGAAGAAGTTGATAATGTAAAAGTTTACGGATGATGGACGCTGCGCCACGGCATAAGCTCACTTGCCCTTTGGGCAGGTGAGCTAAAACTGCTGTGTAGCCTACAAAAATGCTACACCAGGAATATATGACCTCACAAAATGAAAACATTAATTTAAAGTATTGTTTTGATATATATGAAACACAGTAAATTACTCAATTGAGTCCAAAATAGCCCAGTAAGATATTGTGTCAGGTACCTGTTCTTTTTTTGGGGCAGGCTGTGCTCGTCGACCAGGACGGGATGGCAATGGAGGCTGAAATGTTACAACACTTACATATTAGTTACAATGATAATAAATTTCGTACATATTAATCTTCAGGAGACATACTGTAAAGTTTGTTTCTATGGATGGAACTCAAACCTGGGGAATACATGTATTATAGTAAAAGTACAATAACATGGTCAAGACTTTATAATCGTTATGGAACTCACGAATAGTACTTGTGATGATGGTTTCCTATTATCTTTTTTTGCAAAAAAGGTTACCACACAAATTCAAGGTTAGTATTAAGGTTATATTTCCATGTGTGTCAAAGATGTTCGGAACTTTCAAAAATACCACCAGTACCAGTAATGAAATACTATTAGATAATTGTGAGAATTGTCTTTTTCTTAATTTTCAGACCAAGAATATGGGTCCATACTTATAAAGTACCTGAATAGGTAAGAAACAAACGGAAGTCTCATGAGGATCACTTAAGTATGTACAATCTGTATTTGACCTCTATTAGTGATCTTTACTTTGCTAGTGAAAGGCACACAAGAGAGGTATCAAATATTTTTGACTAGTCAGATGTTGACATAAATGGATGGATCTGACTTAACACAAACCTGCCAGTATATAATCCCTGTTTCACTCAGGTAGAGAACTTTTGCTTCAAACAAATTAGAGGTTAATACTACTTATCAGCCATCAAAAGAAAAAAATATAACAATCAAGGATCCCTGTCCCACTGCAGCTGTTGTTATTCCTGTATAAAGTAACCTCCCTTTCGTTTTAAAGAGACAATGGTAGCACAGTTCCCAAGACCAGGTAGCTCAGTGAGTTAGAGCAATAGTATAACAATGCCAGGGTTCAAATCCTAGTCTAACTGACTTTTTACGGTACTCAAAACACCGTTGTTGACTACATTTTCTTTATTAGAATTCTTCAATATTTTTCATAAAAGTCCCACCTGGTATTTATTTCAGAAATGATTCGTCAAAACTAGTCTTATTGAAAAAAAACAAATCCAATGTCTAGTTCCAGTTAAAGTACAGGGATCCTTTCAGTATCATAAACAGGAAGACCATTGGTGGCAAACAGGTAGAGAACCTTGGATTTACTATTTTACTATTTCCTATGAAGAGTTTTTTTTAAATTTTATTTCGGTAAATAATAAACCTACCATATTAATAATGGAAATAAATATATCAAGATATTAAATCACAAAGCAGTCTTCAAGCCTATGAGCCATATACATTCATTATGAAAAGAAATTTGCAAAAAAGCCAAATTCTTCAAAAATCAGTGAGAGGCAAAATCATCTCATATTATGGGATTATGTCCTTATTTATATATAGTGCTGTTTTTTTCTATAAAATACAAAAACAAAGGTGGAAAATATGCATAGACATTAGCAACACATTTCAGCAGTTGCAGTCTTAAAATTCCTTATAAATACTATAAACATATTGGTTTCAGAAGATTTTAAATTCCATGACATACATTTATGTCAAGTATAGGCATGTGGAACCTCTTCCTGACAGCTACTTAATTATCTCACTAGAAGCAGGATTGAGGCCATGTTTACATCATTATTGTGCATAGTATACGCCATTTCACAAGAGCAGAATCCAATGAATGGCAATGATATCTACGTGTCTACACAATAAATGTGCTGAGAGGTATTCTAAGCCGATTCAGTTTTCACTTTTCAAGTCTTAGTAGTGGAAAAACCCTTTTTCCTCTTAAGCACATATATGCTTCATCGCTGAATACTTTCACTTTGTTGTGCTGTAGATTGGCTTCCAGCTGTTACCTTTCGCCCGCCAATTCTGTCTGCCTTACCATGTTTTAGCATGGACATCACCAATCATCTAGTACATTGTACATGTCTGGACATTATGTAAAATATCATTTTTTTTATGGCACATATGAAAATAAATTTATATTCCATTTTATTTTACATCATTGACATGTTTCATTTCCTGAGAGTGGTATTAACGGAGAGTTAATAAGAGTTAATAAGAAAAGAAATACCAGATAATATTGTTGATAAGAAAATAGCGTGAGGTTATTGGCATGCTACATGTACTTTTAAGCAAAGCCATTAGTTGAACATTGGGATACACTTAGATGGAAGCACTTTCAAACATCTATACCACACAAATGGGCTCAGGTTATAGTCTATATGCAAAATTGTTCAGGAATTGATATGTCATCAAAGACTGCTAATCGAGAGACTCTTTTATTTTGTTTTTTAATATATACACAGCACATGTACCAGTAAAGAAACTATAATAACAAATAATAGTATTGAAGGAAAAGAATTATCCCACTGGTAAAAGGCTACAATATAGTTCATGTCCTAGGAGTCTCTTGAATATTTTTCCTGGGTCCGAAGCCCATGGAATTGGGATTTTTTTGCATGGTAAAAAGCAGAAGGGGGACAAAGGGGAAAAGTAAAACATTGATTACAAAAAGCAAAAACACACATTTTTGAGTTAAGTTCATTTTTTTGACTGTTTATTATAGTTCAGTTTCCTCTTTCTCAAATATATTTAAAATGTGTCTATCATTGTTTTCCAGAAATGGCCAATCAAATTTAATTGCACTATACTATCCAATTGTGAATTTTATGAGAATGATTTTGGAATTTTAGCTGAATTTTCTATGGGGAATGAGACAGTTATTTGCCTCGAGTGACATTGAAGGAAAATCCCTGCATGACAGTTTAAAGTGAGGAAAACAAATCCTTCTTTATGTGGGCAGCAGTACCTCCTCTGCTTTGCTGTTTCTACTCAATTTATAGGACAGGCTTGGTTACCACTTAAATAAGGTTGTTAAGCTCCATCCATCAAAAATCCCCAACAAAGTGTGATTGTCAAGTCTCTTACTATGATAAACTGGTCAAGTAAAAGTCAGACACCGCCTGGATCACCTTATGGGAGGTTCTGCCGGTCCCAAGCCCGGGTAAAGGAGGAGGGTTGGGCATCCTGTCAAAAACACTCCCGTTACAGAAACGTCAATAAATGTCATTGTTGATACCTTATGTCCCATACGGGACGAAGAGACTGAAGTAAGTAGGTAAAGGTCACAGTAACCTATGCTTGGTATAAATACTTTGCCATCTTCAGATCCCTGTACATTGTTTGATGCTTTGAGAAGTAATGATAAAGAATTTATGCTTGAGACAAATGATTTTTTTTTCAATGACGCTGAGGCCAAAAGTCAAAATTGAAGTCACAGTGACTAAGTAATTTAAGCATGTGACACTCATCAGTCATCACCCCAAAATGCTTTTACATACCAAGTAATCCTAAGTGATATAATCTTGGAGACTGCTAGGTCCAATGTGTGGAAAAAGGACAAATCTAGTCACCCTGCAGTACTAGTGGACAACTTACCAGTTTGTTTTAATGTTAGTGAATGCTTTTTAAAAATAAGCAACAATTTCAATTGTTAGTAAACAGTTAATTCATAGCTCTGATGCACAAGGCGAGTACTATATACTTGACGATCATCAGAAGCTGATGCAGATCTGTCGAAGTTATTAAACCTCACATGCAGGTGATCAGTCTTGAAGACCAACAAAACTACAAGTCATCGACACAAACACCACCAATGTAGGTCATTGTGCATAATGACGACATCGCAACTTTAGTTCTTTATTTTAAAACTTGATAAACAAGAGGCCCAATGGGCCTGAATCGCTCACCTGCTATTAATCTCACACTTGTAATCTTAAAAGTGGACTAATGTACAGCTACAGGCAGAATATCAGTGTTTGATTTATGAGAACCTTTTAAAAGATTTAAACATATGACGCCCGTGACCTTGAAAGTCGAACAATGACATCAAGTTGAACAGAGTTTATAGCCTTCCGTCCCAGCATGCTTCTGGCCAAATATCATTACCCTGGCCCCGACCTTTTGATTATTCAGAACAAGTCATTTAAAGATTTAAACATCTTTTATCCCTATGACCTTAAATATAAGCGAAGGCCATTCATTTGAAGAAACGTGTTAGCCCTTCTTCCCAGCATCAAACTGGTAAAATATCATAACCCTAGGCCTTTTGGTAATTCAGAAGAAGTCGTTTAAAGGTTTTAAACATATTTGACACCTGCGACCATGAATATATGTCTAGGTCATTCATTAGAACAATCTTGGTTGCCCTTTAACTCAGCATGCTTCAGGCCAAATACCATCATCCTAGGCCTCTTCTTTATTGAGGTGTTTAAAGGTTTTAAACATATTTGACCCCTAGCTGTTACCTTGAAAATGGGTGAAGGTCATTTGTTTGAACACATTTGGTAGCACTATATCCCAGCATACTACTGGCCAAATATGCTGTTTGGTTATTGAGAAGACGTTGTTTTAAATGTTTTAAACATATTTGACCCATGTGACCTTCAACATGGGTGAAGGTAGTTTGTTTGAACGTGGTAGCCCTTCATCCCACCATGTTACTGGCCAAATATCATCACCCAAGACCTTTTTGTTATTGAGAAGAAGTTGTTTAAAGGTTTATAACATATTTGACCCCTGTGACCTTGAAAATAGATAAAGGTCATTCGTTTGAACAAACTTGGTAGCCCAATATCCCAGCATGCTACTGGCCAAATATCATCATCCAAAGCCTTTTGGTTATTGAGAAGAAGTTGTTTAAAGGTTTTAAACATATTCAACCCCTGTGACCTTGAAAATGGGTGAAGGTCATTAATTTTGTTTGAACAAAATTGGTAGCCTTTCAACCCAGCATGCATCTGGCCAAATATTATCATCCAAGGCTGTTTGGTTTATTGAGAAGAAGTTGTTTTAAAGGTTTTAAACATATTTGACCATTGTGACCTTGAAAATAGGAGAAGGTCATTCTTTTGAACAAACTCGGTAGCCCTTATCCCAGCATGTTACTGGCCAGCTATCATCATCCTAGGCCTTTTAGTTACTTAAAAGAAGTTGTTTAAAGTAAAAAGTGGACGCCGGATGGCCGGACGCCGGACGCTGCACCATGGCATAAGCTCACTTGCCCTTCGGGCAGGTGAGCTAAAAAGAGGCTAGTATTTTAAATGTAGCAGTAACAAACTTTTTCATTTAATTTAAATTTTAAACTGAAGTAAGACAAAGTGTTACATGGTATTCTCCACTTTAAATTAAAGACATGATAAACATTTGGGTAAAATCACAAATGAAAGTTTCATATCACTTAAAACAATATCTGTCATCAAGTGAGACTGATATATAGTTATCAAGTTTGGTATCATTTAATTATCTATAGATTCATGTACCTACCCTTATGAAAAGGTTCACTCAGCAATCAAATTATTTCAACAAACTACCATATGTTGGAGTGTTTACCAGTCAGTTATTAGTGAAAAGTCGTTTTTGACAGAGTGTATTATCAGAGACAGTGACTGTCAATCATGCTTGTACTTCATTGACTGAAATCAAGGTTTTAAACAACAACATATCATCACTTTTATCTGAGCTTTAAATGTCTCAACAACCAACCTGATGCTCTGGTAATCTAACATTTCAAAACAAAATAAAATTGATCTGACCTTGAGCTACTGTTCCAGCAGTTAAACATGTCAATGTCTACATTAACCAGGATACAAGCTTGACAGGTCTTTTCTGACTACTAAAGACAGGTATTGAAAAACACTGTCCCAGGACAAATAGAGTAAATGTAACAAAATATCCTAGATTTTTACATCCCAAAATGCTTCATTTTTGGATCATGCTGGTCAACTGTTAACAAGAGATCCTAGAGGGATCTTGGCACCCACCATTGTACCATCTTCATTAGTTCTTTGTCAGTTCAATCTTTTCTCTTCTTTCCTCTAATCTGTTTGATCGAGTCATGTTAACAGTAAATTCACTTTGAGGTAACTTTTGATCTAAACTTAATACTGATGTGTATGAAAGCCAACCTTCAAAGTGAGTTTGTCATTTCACATATTTACTAGTACAGTACTTAATGTGAAAGAAATAGAATCGATCATTGCAATATGAGAAAGATCTGTTTAGTTCTTCCTTTAGCCATTTGTTTTTATGATCAGTCTCAAAATATAACATGCACAACGAGGGATCAAGGGGAACCAACATATCAAATTTGAGAAAGTTATTCCTTTCACTATCAAAATCCAAGATGGCTGCCTGTCGGCCATGTTGTTTATCTGATCAGTCTCAAAAGTTTCCCTGCACAGCTAAGGACCAGAAAGATCCCTCTGGTACTTCTTGAGAAATACTGATAACAAGGATTGTTTAAGGGCGGAAGATTGACCACGGACAGACAGACGGACGGACCACGGACCACGGACGCAGGGTGATTTGAATATGCAATATATTCAAATGACCTGCCAGTATATGTGAACTTGTAGGTCTGACCTAGTGACTTGACAGTTCTGCCGTGTCATAGACTTTCTTACCTCAGGGTCATCTGTCTCCTCATAGGTTGGCTGGATAAAAAATATTATTTGCCAAATACATCATATATTACTTGTTAACAATTTTATTATCGAAAGTAAAGTGTACGTTCCACAATTTGGCCAGTATGTACCATCTAGTCTTTACTGGTCACTTTATATCATTATATTGACCACTCTATGGTACCCCACTATATAACCCTGGCATACATATCACCTAAGAATGAAAAACCCACATGTTGATATCATCAATTTTATGGCATCATCATTGAAATGTTGACAATCAGTAATCCTGTCCTCTATTCATTAAATAACCATGCACTATTCACTTATTCGAACTAAAAACTGAACAAAATATTTCAACATTCAATGAGATTATGTTAAACCTCCAGTTAGTTTGAATGGCAGCACTGATAACATACAACTGAGTAACGAATAGTACTCATGGTGTAGTGATGGTCGAGTTTCTTTCTAGCTAACATCTGCATGTAACATGTAAACAATTTTAGGCCATGCAACCATGTGTAACATCGGTACCTATCAGTACGTACAAGGGGGGAATTTTCTGTAACATCGCTGACAGACACGTTTGTATTGTTATGATATTACTGTGTTTACAATGTAGTCATATAATAGCAACATGATATTACTGTGTTTACAATGTAGTCATATAATAGCAACCTGCTCACCGATCCTTGACTTAATTTATTACTTAATATTTCAATTCCTATTTAAGTTGGACTCAATACAACTACCAAATGTAACCCGTTTCATTTGCCGATGAATTTGACCAGATTAACATTGCCTGTGCATATGATTTTGCGAAGGGAGATAACTATTGACATGTTTAAACAAAGAAGATGTACCACTTGATGAGAATTTACAATTTTATTGAAGCTACACAAGAACTTGTTCAAACAACCAAAAACAATCAATCAGCAAAATATTATCAGTTCACGGCTGCTAGTGGTAGTGACAAGTCATGTACTGCCCTAGAAATTCTCCCTCCAGCTAACTTACCTATTCTATCAACCCCCGGTACAAATCGAAAACAACGTAGATCCTCAGGGGTTCGTTACAAATGTCTGAAATATGCATATCATGCTATAACTGATAGGGGTCACAGCACATATAAATGTATGTTTATGTGTGCTGTAACCCATATCAGTATATCATATGTGTAAAAATGTATAATGTTTATGTGTGCTGTAACCCATATCAGTATATCATATGTGTATAAATGTATGTTTATGTGTGCTGTAACCCATATCAGTATATCGTATGTGTAAAAATGTATAATGTTTATGTGCGCTGTAACCCATATCAGTATATCATATGTGTATAAATGTATGTTTATGTGTGCTGTGACCCATATCAGTAAAGGCATATGTGTATTTCAGACTGCTTTGGTCGATTTCATGGAGTGATGAATTGAGTTGGTCTTGAAATAAATTCAACATGAACTGTTTTGCAGTTCATTAAATTTGTTTTAAGACCAACTCAATTCATCACCCCATGAAATCGACCAAAGCAAGATTCAATCCTTAAATTTATTTGTTACCTGTATATGTGCCAAAACAAACAGATTTGACCGGGTGGTTTGTCGAACTATTAATCCGTAACTATAGTTTCAATTAGCCCTCCGCATACTCGTATGGCCTACATAAACTTTGCAATTACCTGCAGAATGAACTTAATGATCACTTAGTAAATCAATATAAGAAAGACGTATGTACCATTATTCATCACCAGATTTACATAATAATATCATAGTAGGCCATCATGTTCTGTATCAACGACTGGACTGTTGTCAGGATTTTAGCTGATGTCGACTCAAATTGTTCAAACTTCTTATAGCGGCTATAATTTTATGTAATTCAAACAGGATTGACAATATTAATTTAATTTTGTTCAAACTGACCAGAGGTTTACCTTAATGCTGTAAATGGTAAATATGGTAAATGTAAGTATTAGCTATTTCAATTTGGCATTTATAGCCAGTATGAATACGAACTGGAAATGACAAATTCAACATGAAGCATGCTACAAATTGGCATTATAAATACTGACTTTTTCAAGGAACGCCAACCGAAAGCAGTTCATTATTTCACAGTAACTGATAAAACGGTTACATCTCTAAACATTATATACACAGTACAGATAATTGGTCAGAATATCTTGTTTTCAACAGATACTGAAAAACACAAATTTTAATTTTGGTGATGTAAAATAGACATATGAAATCATATTGGATTTTAAACAGGAAATGGGATGTGAAAGTGGCAATTTAGAAAAATAATTCATCAAATAAATAAATTTGATCCCAATTGAAAGTGTAATGCCAATATTAATTGGTTTATTAATGTCATATAAACTTTTTCCAGAGTAAAGGTCCTGTCACACTTAGCCAATTTGGGTCGCCGGAGCTATACCAGAGCACAAATTTGTACTACCGTTCTTAGCGATGTACAATGGTATCACTCTGCTATAGCTCCGGTCAATGGTGGCACATCGGTGGAACAACGGCGCCTCAGTATAACATCTGCGGCGCATCAGTGACAGAAAAGTGGTATTCGGTAGCACATCAGTGACAGAAAAGGGGTATTTGGTAGCACATCGGCTCTTACAGTGATACTACATCGATATTGCTACGTTATTTTTTTGCTCCAGTTTAGTAACGGCGAGGTACATTGATAGTGTGTGACAGGCCCTTAAAGAATTACCTTTTCAATATAAGTTCAAAAAAACAATTTGAAATATGATAGGTACCTGTTCCTCCTCTGGGGCTGGCTGGGCTCGTCGGCCAGGACGGGATGGCAGTGCGGGCTGAGACGACACTATCAGAACAACAATGAAATCAACAATTTGTGTGTTTTTCATAATTTTTCTCTCATTTTGTTCACTGCATTGTCTCCCGTTATAGATGTGAATAATTTTTTGATAATATCTACAGGGTATAGCTACACATGCAATCTTATTTATAGATGATAATTGTTTAAACTATGACAACATCACAAATTCAACGGTCTAGTTGAACCTTCTTAACAAACAAGAAGTCCTAGCTAGGACCAAGAATAGCTCACCTGAATGTTTTGAAGCCTAAATTTTATGACCAAGCGTTAGGTTGAATTCTGACCAGTAGCGAGGGGAATGAGCCCCCAGGAATGTTATCCACTTTATTTAAAAAGCTGATCTTTGTGGTATAAACTTAGGGACGTTACTGCCATAATTTAGCTGATCTTGTCCATTTTGTTTTAAACTTTTTGTTTGGTTTAATTTTGTTTAACGTCCTAGTAACAGCTAAGGACATGCCTCCATGTGTGTATAGTGTATGCGTGCTTGCGTGTGTATGCAGGAGACAGTGTATGCTGGTGTGCTTGCCTCATTGTGATAGCTCGGATCTGATTCCGACTTTATAGTGCCATCTCACTGAAATGCCATGCTGACGGCACCTGAAGCACAGCATTCCGCCCGGTCACATTATACTGACAACGGATGAACCAGTTGTTGCCATTCCCCTTAAAGGTGATAAAAACCCAATTTCATTTTCACATATTTTGCCTTTTTTCGGGGGCATTATTCATTAAATATCCCTTCCGTAACATGAAAAATATTTTGAAAACACAAAAGTTGCGAAAATCAGCAAATTTTGTAACCGGTATTGAAAATCTCAAATACAAGTTAGCACGAGTTATTGTTCGTTAAACCGGAAGAGCTGTGACGTCATTTGCGACGACTGTCTGTCAAAACAACTACCGAACTAGTTGGTCCCGGGGCTATGGATTCCGTGGATTTTAGTGACAACGAGGATATTCCAGAAGTTTCCTTCACACTGGACATTCAGTCATACCTGTATGAGCCAGACTGAACCGATTTAGAGGTTATAAGTGAATATGAATCGTCTGAGTTGGATGTTAGTGACGACGAACAGGGTCAGGAAACCGGCAGTATAGCTTGCGTCAATGCAGATCTTACACCAGAATGGTTCATTTAAGCTCGATTGTTCAATCCTTGGTACCAATTCATCCTAAAATACAACTTTTTTAATTGTAATTAGGTTTTATATATACTTTTAAGCCGACTTTAAATATAAAACAGTCTGGACACGGAATTAGATTATCTAAGTCCGTGGTCTGGAGCATGTTAAATATCCTCGGGTTACCGGTTTCCGCGCACTTAAGAAGCATCCGCGATTTCGTACTCATATAGGCAGAAAACTGTTGAAATGACGGATTACTGTCATAAACATGTATACAATCTACTAATGGAAACAAAAAACTAGCAACATAAAACTGTATTTAAAAACAAGAGGCCCATGGGCCTTAACGGTCACCTGAGTCTACAGTATTTATTTTTGTTGTTGAAATATGTACCAATTTGAGTAAAAAATAGTATAATGTTAACTTAACTTTGTCAGGACCATGAGCTGATCATTCCTAGACCAATTTTAAGTGAGATCGGCCTATTAGAACTTAGTAGCAAAATAGCGGCCATGGCAGCCAAATTGTATTTCTGATTGACCCGAAAAATAACAACACTTTGTCAGGACCAT